TAAAAACAGAGTCATCGCCTTGACCAGAACATTTAGAAATCAGAACATCACCTCTCATTAATTTTCTAGACTCCTAGGCCTCCTAATACAGGTTGCATATTCCAGTGTTCCTAGTTCATCTTATCATGGCTCTGCTCATTCTGCCATTACAGTATTGTTTCCTGAAGCTAGCCTCGGCCATGTCAGAAGTTCCCCAAAGTAATTCCCTAAGAGTCCCAACAGTACAACTTCTGGGCTTCTGTTAACGTGGCTGTATTGGTTTATTTGGGCCTTTGTTTCCTCACTCATAAAATAGAGGACTTACAATCATTATAGTTTGTTTGTAAGGGCTGTGGGTCCTAACCTCTTAAGATCCTATGGGAAAAAGGGCAGGCAGGGAGCGGGCAGAGGGCGGTGATGGAGGCGTGCGCTCCACGCCTAGACCTGGTCAGGAGCAGCCGCCATCAGTCCGTTCATCTCGCTACAGCCTAATGCGGCCTCCCCTCACTGAGACCACGGCTTGCCACTGGGCCGTTTGGACCAGTGGAGGAAAAATGAGTGGCAAAGTGGCAGGACAACCCCTCGCTTGCCAGAGCTGTGCCAGGCTGTGCCCAGTGACAGGAAAACAACCAAGTAGCAGACAGCAGACCCTGGCCCTGGCTCTGCAGCCTGGCAGTGCTGGGCAGCTCAGCCCTTGCTGGCGTGTCCTTGGCACCCCACAGCAGCCCAGCATTTGCCTGCTGGGGGCTTTCTGGACTTCTACATGACATTAAGCCCCAAGTTTGGTTTTAAGGAAAGTTAAATCAATTCCCCCCAACAGAACAAAAGCAGCAGCTTCTTAAATGGCTCAGAGAAAAACGCAACTCGCAAGGCATGTGGCATTCTGCATCTCATCAATGCCCAGCTCCACCCATCGCTCAGGCTTAACCGTGCAGCTCCCAGGGCCTGCTTGCTGCCCTGACTTGCAACATTTCCGTCCTCCGCCCCTGCGACCAGCCAGCAGGAGGCGGAGGACAGACTCAGCCCTGGTGTTTCTGCCACTGCTGCCAGAGCCGGAACCGGGACAGTGCCCGAGGGGCTCCCTGCTCACTGTGCCACAGCCTTGCAGCGCTGAGCCTGCCTCCCTGCCCCTTTGGCTCTGCCTCGTGGGGCAATAGAATCATTTCCATTCTTTCTCAGGCTGTTTCATCTTCTCTTGGCTGCTTTCCCCTTCCCAGGGGACAGGGCTGGCTCTCAGCTATCCAAGTACCAAAGAGAGCTGCTCAGCTGGTGGAAAACAAGGCCTCAGATGTCGGGAAAGGGCAGGGAACGCCTGTGCCCGCTGAGGAGGGCGATGCCTCAAGCCTCTGCCCTACCGACACCCTGAGCACGCAGGGGCAGACTCCCCATCACCGGGTGAACACCGTGCTGGAATGACACCGCACGGCTCCCCCTCCTGTCCACACCGTCCTTCCCATCTCTTCCAGCACATCGGTTTCATGATCCACACCCTCCCAGGCCATTCGAGATCACCCTCAAAGCAGCCACTGCTCCCACGTGCCTGGTTCTTGTTTTCCAAAAGCTTCTATTCACTTCCTAGATGACTCCCAGACTTCACCAGGGGCGGTGGCTCAGTGGGTTAATTCACTGCATGGGACGGTTGCAGGCTCCAAGTGCCTGGAATTGTCACTTTTGCCTCCCTAGCTTCTTACTGATGTGCAGCTCCAGTCGCCAAGCCCCTGCCACACACGTTGGAGACAGGCTGAGCTCTTGGCTCTTGGTTTCAGCGCTGCCCAGTCCTGGTGATCATGGACATTTGTGGCATGCACCAAGCAGATGGAAGATCTCACATGCGCAATCTCTTTCCCCTGTTGCTCTGCCTTTCAAACACACTGAAAGAAAGAACTGACTATCTGCGTAATAAACCTAATGGAAGAATCTCCCTGGTGTGATGTCTGGTCACAGAGCCAACACTTCCGGCCTATGACTGGGTCCTGAAACAGGCCAGATGTGTCAGTGACCCGGTCATTGTGCGTCAGGTGGCCTGGAAGCTGAAAAGGTGCCAAGGTACTTTCACAGCTATCAGTAAGTCCCTGGAAACAGCAATGGGTGAACAAGCGAATGACTGGGCAGATTAAATGGATTGTTCTATTATTAGTAGTAGTGTATTATTATTAATCATTATTAATTATTAGTATTACTATTTGAAAGGCAGATTTGAAGAGGAAAGACATAGTGAGAAAAATTTTCCATCTGTTAGTTCATTCCCCAAATAGCCACAACAGCCAGAGATGAGCTGATCCAAAGCCAAGAGCCAGGAGCCTCCTCCAAGTCTCCCACATGGGTGCAGGGGCCCAAGGACTTGGGCCACCCTCCACTGCTTTCCCAGGCCACAAGCAGGGAGCTGGATGGGAAGTGGAGCAGCTGAGACATGAAGCAGCATGTATATGCAATGTCAGCGCTTGCAGGTGGAAGATTCTCCTGTTGAGCCCCTACACCAGCTCCTTGGGAATTTTCTTACCACGGCTTCCCCGTTTCTGACTTCCTTTGAATCCCACCACATGCGATTCTTCCTGGAACACAGAGCCTGGCATGTGTGCCTCCATGAGTGTGTGCACATACGTGTGCTGTGCCTGCCCTGGCTTCCTTCAGCGATGCTGCCCAGACGTGAGCGTCCCCGTGTGACTGGCGTGTAGCTGTCTGGCCCCCTCAGCCAGCTGTAATGGACTGCGATTTCCTGGCGGCCAGACTGGCTGGGACTCCTCACACTGCTTGAGAGCCTGCCAAGTACCACGGACAGATCACAGCAGGCCTGGAGAGGCTGACCCACAGTCCTGACGAAGGGGAGATCAGACACGGGATCTGGAAGGCAAAACCGCACATGCTGTACAGCACTGAACAGTGCCTAAAGGGCGCGACTGGTTAGCCTAGGAGTTAAGACGCAGCATCCTGCACGAGTGCCTGGTTCCAGTCCAGGCTCCAGCTCCTCAGTCTAGCTTCCTGCCAAAGGACCTGGGAGGTAACAATGATGGCTGAGGTAACCGGGTGCCTATGCCCATGGCAGGCCTGGATGGCGTCCCTGGCTCATCTTGTCCCCAGCCCAGACTCAGCGATAACAGGCATTTGTGAAGTGAACCAGAAGATGGGAGTGTTCTCTTTCCTCATCACATATTAAAAGCAAAACATGCTAGGGACTAGTGCTGTGGCACAGTAAGCTAAGCTGCGAGCACCAATTCTAGTCCCAGCTGTTGCACTTCATTCCCAGCTCCCTGTTAACACACCTTGGCAGGCAGCAGAAGATGGCACAAATGCTTTAACCCCTTCAAGCCCCACAGGAGATGTGGCAGAGTTCCAGGCTTCTGGCTTCAGATTGGCCCAGCACGGGTCATTTCAGCCATTTGGGGAGTGAACCAGCAGATGGAAATACCATCCATCCCCTTCTGATTCTTCCTCTTTTCTCTGCAACTCTGCCTTTCAAAGAAAACAAATATTTTGAAACCTTTTCTTAAAGGAAGGAAGCTAGGAGCCAGCACAATAATGCAGCATGCGAATCCCCACAGCATCCCGTATGAACACGTTTCAGTCTCAGCTGCTCCATTTGCATCCAGCTCCTTCTTAATGACCTGGGAATGCAGTAGAAAATGGCTCAAGTCCTGGAGTCCCCACACTTGCATGGGAGACTGGGCAGAAGCTCCTGGCTCTTGGCTCCTGGCTGCAGGTTATATCAGCTCTGGTTGTGGTAGACACACACTTTTTCTGTCTCTCCTTCTTTCTGTAAATCTGCCTTTCCAATAAAAACAAGCAAATCTTTTTTAAAAACTACACGAGTTAATTTAGCCCTGAAACTTTATAAGCAGCCTAGTCTTTTCTACTTACGTCACACTTATCCTGCTCCAATTCTTTATGTTTCCAACTTTCACTAAGAAGTGGCTCCTTGCCACCCAAGGCAAACTTTCTGCCGAGGGCATCATTGTGGTGCAGCAGGTTGGGCTTCCACTTGCAAAGTCAGCATTCCACATCACTGCACCAGTTAGAGACAGCTGCTGCGTCCGATCCAGCTTTCAGCAATGTGCCTGGACAAGCAGCTGATGATGGCCCAAGGGCTTGGGCCCCTGCCATGCATGTGGGAGACCAGGATGAAGACTCTGGTTTTGGCATGGCCCATCCCTGGCAGCTATGGACATTTGAAAGTGAATCAGTAAATGGAAGATCGATCTCTCCCTCTGCAACTCTGCCTCTCAAAGAATTAAAACAGGGCCCGGCATGATAGCCCAGTAGTCAAATCCTCACTTTGCATGCTCTGGGATCCCATATGGGGACCTCCTTGTGTCCCAGCTGTTCTACTTCCCTTTCAGTTCCCTGCTTATGTGGCCTGGGAAAGCAGTGGAGGACAGCCCAAGCCCTTGGGACCCTGCACCTGTCTGGAAAAACTAGAGGAAGCTCCTGGTCCCAAGCCTGTGCCTGTAAAAGGACTTGCCTATGATTGTGAAGGGAGCCTATGGCAGGGGAAGAGTTCTGCACAGAGCCTGCTCCACAGTGAGGCTGCGTAGAGGGACCACTGTCACCACCTCCTGCTGGCCTTCACCCAGACAAGGACTGTATGTTTCTTCCCATTGTAGAAATGACTCGGGGGCCCGGCGGCGTGGCCTAGCAGCTAAAGTTCTCGCCTTAAACCTGCCAGGATTCCATATGGGCACCAGTTCTAATCCCAGCAGCTCCACTTCCCATCCAGCTCCCTGCTTGTGCCCTAGGAAAGCAGTCGAGGACGGCCCAAGGCTTTGGGACACTGCACCCATGTGGGAGATCCAGAAGAGGTTCCTGGCTCCTGGCTTCGGATCGGCACAGCATCGGCCGTTGTGCTCACTTGGGGAGTGAATCATCAGATGTAAGATCTTCGTCTCTATCTCTCCTCTCTGTATATCTGACTTTCCAATAAAATAAAATAAATCTTTTAAAAAAGAGAGAGAGATGATTCGGCAACACTAACATCTGGAATTCCACCCAGCTGGCTTCCTCAACACCCACACATCCACGAGACCAAATGCTTTTTAAAACTTTATTTCAATGTAACTATGCTTACAGAAATACACTCAGATTGGTTAATATAACACAATTTAACTTATCCTACGATTTTGACCAAACACTTGGTACATGGTTTAAGATTTTTTTTTTTCCAAAAAAGGATTTGCAGCCAGGTTTATTTTTCTCTATCACAAATGTATAAAAGATCTTCCATCAATGCTGCACAAGGAGGCAGCAAAAACCTTGAGAAATTTACCTTTGGTTTGCCTTAGAAAAGTAATACGTATTGCACTGTGAAAGTTTTACAAAATCGGTGCAGTAAAACATCATTGTAATGTTTCAATGCCAGTTTGCAAAGTTCTGTAACTAATGAGGAAGGGCCAGACAGGAGAGCCGGAGAGCTCGGGAAGATGGGTCACACTGCATGTAGACTGTGAACGAACAAAACCCAGGTTGAGATCATGTCTTCAGTCCGAGTTAACACTGTCAGCTTACTGTATCTGCCGAAGCTAACGAGGAAATCCAGCACATTACGCTTTTCTGACACATGCAAAGGAAGAGAAGAACGTTTGTTCGTAGCTTTTCAGTCCTGAGGGGACGGTGTCCCACAGGCATTCCTTCCGTCGTCAGCAATCACGGGGTGGCGTGCGATGAGGTCTGCTTGGGTTTCCATTTGTATCAACACTCATACAAAGCAGTCCCCAAACTTAATGACCACGGGACTTCAGAAGTGATTCTAAAAAATAAAATGGCCCTTCTTGGAAGACTATAAGAAACACAGAGCCACAATTCAAAGAAGCCTTACCAAAACAATACAACACAAGTCCCCGCGAATTACATCTTAATAATAATAATAAAAAAGTAGCCCCAAATAAGCAGCTCTGTAAAGAAAAAAATATATAACTTAAAATACATTGAGAAACCAATGTGAAGATGAAGAGTAAAAGATACATTTTAATATGGCCATCTAAAATTAAAACATTCTACTAATTCAAGTTTATCACTAGCTAACTCGACATCAATTTACAATTTTTTTTTAAATTGTTGTTCCTTTATCAGAAGGGAAAGTTCTACTTTAATCTATGAAGGGGAGAGGGACTAGGAGACATTTCCACTATCACATTTTCCAAAAAAGAACTTCCAACCCGACCACGGAAGTTCATCACTGCTGGTTTCCTTTTTCCTGAAACATTGTTCGTAGCAGGTACAGAAGCACAGCGCTAACCTGCCGGACCCCTGGCACGTCACTGCTTCCTGCAAGACAGGCCTAGTCCATCAGTGTCCAGGAACGGGGATGGTCAACATTTAATACAGGATTTCTCTCTTTTTGTTCTGAGCATTCTAGTCTTAAAGACTAGATTAGAAACCAGTCGGAATCCCCAGAAGGCAAATTTTTCACCTGCAGTATGAAAGAATCCACAAGATCATCTTCAAACGGTTGCCCGATCTCCACTTTGTGCTTAAAATCCTTTTCTATAAAAGACAACTGAAGTACAACGCACCCTTGAGCATTAAACCAGCTGTTAGATTTAACTAGTTTTATAACTTAAATTTTAAAACATATATAAATATCTGCAGCTTGATCTTCCGCTGACAGTGATTGTCGGAGCCTAGATTTCAACATCTACAAATCCCCACTCGTGCACGCAAAACACACACCATGTATCACACAACGTATTCTTGTGTCTTCAAAGAATCTTCTGTTTCTTTAAATCTTTGGCCTCCCAATCGATTCCAAGTTCAGGTAACTTCTAACTCCAACTCTTCTGTCTGATCTTGACAAGTGTCCCACTCACCCACTGATGCTTGTCCTAATGGTTCACGTGTACTGACCAAGCCCCGAGCCTGCCCAGAGACCGGATGAAATGCCATGAGCAGGCAGTGCTGCAGCTCACCTGGGGCCTCTCCTGGGGCCAGCAGGTGGCACAGGGACAGGACGCCCACCAGGGCTGTGGAGATCCCTGAGAAAGTGTGATTTTTTTGTTTAACCTGTAGACTGTACTCAAGTTACAGCAGCCTTCTTACTGTCTGTGGGAAGCTGAGCTTGGTTGGCCAGCACCCATGCCACCTGCACTCTTGTTGGCCTCAGACTCTCTCAAGAGACAGTCTGCAGAGTCTGAAGGAGTTGTTCTCTCCCAATTCCAGGTTTGCAATTTCCAAGTATCGTTTTGCTGTTCTTATTCAGTCAAGCAGCCACACAGACAGCAACCACCTATGAGAAAGCATTCTTCTCAAAGGTAGAGTTCAAATTAGGAAGCAGCTGTACCAAAAATGGGCAAAGAATTAATGGCTGATATTGGAGATAGAAATTTGTTCACTATGAAACCTAGTGTTGCATTTATGGCAAAATCGAAACTGAGATGTGAATTTACTATAGCCATTCAAAATAAATAATCTCGAAGAAACAGATTCTAGCAAGATACAAGATGAGAAAATTGGAAAAAAAAAAAATCAATGGATTGAATCAGCACATTTCATTTGCTTACCAACTTGCACACACATCTTGCCAAAAGACAATCATAGCAAAGGAAACAAAAGAAAACCTCTTTTGCAAACAGGTCCTAAAAGCATCCCTCCAAAGAGACCAAAATAGACATGCATATATATGCATAAAGTGTTACTGTCCAACACAAATGTTATCTCTACAAGGATTTAAATGCATAGGTTAAAAAAAAACCACAAAAACTGTGCAACATCTGAAGCCATTAAAGCACCAGAAAAAAAAATTTAAAAAAACCACCCAAAATTACTGCCTTTAACAATGAACATACACAGGAAATATTGATCAAAATTCAAGAAGTAAAACACCTGGACTAATATATTGTCCACTGCTCGGGAGACTTTTTCTTCAATTCAAATGTCTTCTCCTTATCTCTATAAAGAAAAACCTTAAAGTGCTAATTTTATAAAGCAGGCAAAATTCTTCAAGTAATCTGCTATTAAGTAAGCCAATCTCTATAAACCTAAACAAGGAACTACAACATAAAGGGAAACAGGAAGAAAGACACAGAGAGAAAACTCCAGCTGGACCAAGCAAGGGCACGGCTGCCGTCGCGCTGTGGCCTTGCATGTCACGCCCAGGCGTCCTGTTGGCTTAGCATGCCTTTGCATGTGCTAAAACTTACACAACCATCAACAGGCGCACACAGAGCCCCAAGGAAAAGAAAGTCGCTGAGAAACCGACACTGGACGTTGACTACAGCAATCTTAAAAAGGTGTCTACCCTATAAACAAAATGCAACCATTCTTACATACTAAGAACTGAGACTTGTGTCCAGTTTTGTTACTCCTGTCCTTTAGCTGCTTTTTCAAGGAAGTACACGTTCACCAAGTGGCGATTGAGGTGTTTACTATAATCTTTTTCCTTTCTAAATGAACGGTCACAGAAGATACAAACAAAGTCTCCCTCGGCCGCTTTGGCCCCCAGGGCTTCCTGGGCATCTTTGCTCCGGGTCTCCCGAGGAGCCGGCCGCGCGCCGTGCAGCCCAGAGTCGTCACTGCCCTCCGACATGTTGTCACTTAGGTCGCTACCATCGTGACTGTGGATGCCTTCATCTTCCTCGATTTCCGGAGACTCATTTCCTGCCAGGGTGGCGGGAGGCGAGGCCGGGGCGCTGCTGGAGGCGGCTTCCTGTTCTGCCTGTGCAGTGGGCAGTAGCAGCGAGGATGGTCCTTCCACGGGTGGGTCCTGAGCAGCACAGGGACCTTCGGCCATGTTCTCATCTGTGAGCATCTCCGTCTCCCGAGGCGCTGTGTCTGCCTGCTGCTGGCCCGGCGTCGTATGATCATCCACTGTGCCTGGGCTTTGTTCCGAGGATGGACAGCTGGCAGCGCTGCTAGCACCAGCAGCCACATGAGCTCCATGCGGCCCTGTCTCTGCAGCTGCTTCGTTTTCGACAGGCATCTCTGGGCTTCCTTCACCTTCCGAGCCTGCCCTTGGGTCTGGTGCCTCCCCTGCCAGGGAGTCTTCCTTGGGCAGCGGTGGTGATGGCAGGGCAGGCTCCTGGGGGGCTGCACCTGCCTTGGGCGGCTGGCTGTCTTTGACAGGCACTAAGCCAACCTCAATGAGGACCTGCTCCTTCCGTGTCATCTCATCCTGCGGGTCGTACTTCTCCTTCCTGCTCTCTCTGCGAAGAGGGGACTTTCTGGGAAGTGGGTCCATGGGAAGCGGATGTTCTGTGGGAGGCGGGGGCTCCACCGGCACAGACCCCACGGCAGGCGGCAGCCCCACGGGAGGAAGCAGCCCGACCCCTGCAGCAGCCCCGGGAGTAGGCCCTGTGGGAGGAGAGGCCTTGGTGGCCGGCTCCTCCGGGGCAGGTTCCTCCGGAGCTGGCTTCCTTGCAGCAAGCTTGCTGCTTCTCTTACTTGGTTTGTTTTTCAGAGTTTTCTTCTTCGTACTCGTACTTTTCTTCACGCTGGGAGCCTGCTTCTCACCCTCCTCGGCTTTGCTGTCAACCTTTGGGGCTTCCTGACTAGTTCTGCACTTGCCTTCCGCCTTCTTTTTCTTTTTCGCTGGGGGCTCCTCCTCGTTGGGCGCCTCCTGCGGGGAATCAGATCCGGCGCCCACCTTGCGCTTGCTTTTCTTGGTCTTGCCAGGCTTTTCGGGACTGCTGCCCGTGTGTGCATCTGCCTCTCTCACCTCGGCCGCCAGCTTGCGAGTTCTGGTGCTCACCTGCATCGCTGAGACGCTGCCACAAGGCTTCTCTTTTGAAGCACTATCTTTTTTCTCCACTTTCACAGACTTCTCATTTTTCTTCCCGGCCGTATCTCCCTTTGTCTTGGTCGGCTCTGTTTCGGCTTTCTCATTGGTAGTACTGGCATCTGGCAGGTCAGCCTCTCGCTTTTTGGTTTTCTTTAGTTTCACCTTTGAGACATCCATAGTTTTATTTGGACAAGTGGGATGCTTTGACTTGAAATGGTACTGCAGGTTGCACTTCTTGGAAGCTGCATAGTCACACACAGGGCAGTTGAACTGCCGTGGGTTAACGTGCAGCTCCACATGTTTCTTGAAATTGCTCCTGTCGGCTGTTTTGTAGTCGCAGTGTGGGCAGTTCAGGGGCTTGGGCCCATTGTGAACCTGCCGCGCATGGCGAGTCACTTCGTGCTGATTAGAGGCCACGTAGCTGCACTGATCACATTTAAATGGCTTCTCACCTGAGGGTAAGCAAGGGTTAAACACAGGTTAAGACACAGACTCAAGGTTTGCGGAAATATCTAGGCATATAAGGAAAGATGTGCAGTCACAGGGACCACTGACTGAAGACCATCATGCACCTCCATTTACCATATTCATCTGTACGGTTGCCCTGATGCTAGACACTGGCTCACAGGGCAGAGGGCGATTAAGTCAGCTGGCCACCTCCGTCTTCAAATGAGCAATCGCCCACTCGGACTACATCAAACCAGCAGTTAGCACACAAGTACCAGCACCAGCAGGGTCCTGCCGGGCAATGTATACCAATTCTGGAGGCTAGGCCACTCGCTGCAAGTCATCTTAAATGTGCTCATGTTTAACCAAAGCAGATAAAGACTGCCATCCCCCTGCAGTGCGAAGGCCCCGCGGGAGGAGTGCCTTCCAGGCCCAGGAACAACTGAATCACTTTGTCCAGGGTAGCAGGTGGGAGGTTCCACCCCCTGAACTTTTCAAAGGCCAGATTTTGCTACTTGGAGCAAACACGAGGGCAAGAAAAAACTTTTCTTAGTTTGCTCTTCATCATTTCCAGAACAGGAGCAGAGAAACCCAAGAAAATGAGCAGTGGCATACAAATAGATATGGTAAATGACACATGCAAACACAGTCGTATCACAGATACACACAAGACCAGAGCCAGCCCACCCCCATGACAGGCAGAGGGTGCCACATTCCACCTGCATACATACCCAGCTAGATCACACGCTAGTAAATATTACCAAGTGGTATCCACACCCCACTGGTCCAAAGGAATGCATAGTAAGAAAACGGAAATTGACATTTATGAAAATTCATCTCAAACATCCTGAAATTCACACCAAGTCGTTAAAATATTTCATAAACCAAAACTTAAGACATTAAGCAAAACCATGTGGACATTAAGCTTTACAAGAATAGAAAACGTCTGGTTAGGAAACAATCACAAACACAGAAAGTCGGACTTTTCAGACTGGACAGGTGACCGGCTGCACAGCTCCGGCCCGCGTGAGTGTGCCCTTAGACCCCTAAGTAGTGAGGTCCCCACAACATGCCACAGTAATCCACACTTGGCCCCAGAACTGCCCCAATCAGCGCTGTAAACAGACATGAAATAAAAAATGACAGATGAAATTAATGGCTAAGAGCTTAATCTAAAGTTAAGAATATCTGGGCAATAAAACATGCAAGCCTCTCGGAACTATGTAAACAATATTAAAAATAAAACTTTAAAAATATGAGCTCTGCAACTCGCTTCATGTAAAACCTTAAGTGAAGTATTGAAAGCTCTTTGGGGCTCAATTTCCCCAACTATAGAATAGTCTTATCTATAAGATAACATCTTAAGTGTAATACACTGGCCAATCCATTCTACATGAGTAAACACTCACTCTTGTGAGCTCTAAGTGTTGAGTTCTAGTAACACAAAGAGCCAGGGCTAGTGTTAGGGTACATCAGGCTAAGCCCATATTTGTGATACCTGCCAGCAGGACCCATGGAAGTGCTGGTTCAAGTCCCAGTGCTTCAGCAGGAGATGGTTGAAGTACTTGAGGACCAGTTCCTGGCTTCTGGCTCTGGCTCCTGACCCCAGGCTCTTGGCTCTGGCTCTGGCTCTGGCTCCTAACTCCAGGCTCCTGGCTCCAGGCTCCTGGCTCTGGCTCTGGCTCCTAACTCCAGGCTCCTGGCTGCAAGCTCTGGCTCTGACTCCTAACTGCAGGCTCCAATCTCTGGCTCTGGCTCTGGCTCCTGACCCCAGGCTCCTGGCTCCTGGCTCTGGCTCTGGCTCCTAACTCCAGGCTCCAGGCTCTGGCTCCGACTCCTAACTGCAGGCTCCAGGCTCTGGCCTGACCCAGACCTGCTTGTTGTGGTGATTTGGGGAGTAAACTGATGGGTACTCTGTTGTCAAATGAATAAATACCTAAAAAATAAGTATGAGGAAGTGTCAAGTACATATCCTGCATCTTTTCGGTAAAACCCGATCTCAAAATTAACAAAACTGATTGGTGTTTTTAATGAAAACAATGTGTTAATTTTTTTTTTTAATTCCACAATTTAAAAAATCCCATCAACTTATAACCCTCCCAACCAAGGAGGGAATCTATGCAGCAAGCATAGTTTAAGTACAAGCTTCTGCTAAAAAACATGATGGCAAGGCCAGTGCTGTGCTGCGGCAAGTTAGCCTGCTTCTTCCAGTCCGCCTGCTCCACCTTCAACCCAGATTCCTGCCGCAGTGTGTGAGCAAGCAGATGCTGCCCCAGGGCTTGACACCTGCTCCCCACATGGGGGAATCCAGATGGAGCTTCAGGGTCCTGGCTTCCACCTGGCCAGCCCTGTCCTTCTGGCTATTCGGGAATGAACCAGCAGATGGGAAGAGCTTTCTGCTCCTCTCTAGCTCTGCCTTTCAACCCTTAGCTAACATGACGTTTTCATGTTGTCAGTACCAATGGATTCCCTTTCCCAATTCTGGTATCACCAATATTTTTAAGCTTTACAAATACACCAGTTCAGTATTTTTCCCAAACCTACTTTCAAGTAGACATAAGGGGAAAAGGGAAAAAGGTTTTTTACAAGTTTGACAGTTCCTAACGGGAATAACACACAAAAGGCTAACAGAAGTTTTTACCTGAAGACTAACAAGGACATCTGATGGATTAATGGGTAACCACTCTACAATCAACACAGTGATGACTGGTAACGCAACACAGGCTGTCTCAGGAAGTGTTTATAGAGTACTGCTCTTTTTTTATTTTTAAGATTTTTTTTTTTTTATTGCAAAGTCAGATATACAGAGAGGAGGACAGACAGAGAGGAAGATCTTCCATCCATTCATTCATTCACTCCCCAAGCAGCCACGACGGCCAGAGCTGCGCCAATCCAAAGCCAGGAGCCAGGAACTTCTTCCAGGTCTCCCACATGGGTGCAGTGTCCCAAGGCTTTGGGCCGTCCTTGATTGCTTTCCCAGGCCACAAGCAGGGAACTGGATGGGAAGCGGGGCTTCTGGGATTAGAATCAGCACCCATATAGGATCCTGGCGCATTCAAGGCAAGGACTTTAGTTGCCAGGCCACAGCGCCAGCCCCAGAGTTATTATAATGTTTGAGAAACCTTTGCAGTGGGAAGACTTTGAGGGCACTGCCCCAAAGGGCAAGGAACATCTCTGAGTAAGAAAGTCCCATGTCTTCATCTGGGGAAGTCACCCAGTTGAAATAGTTACCAAGCTGTATACTTAAAAGACATGTACTTTCAGGGTTGGTGCTGTGGCTCAATCGACTAATCCTCCACCTCCAAGTACCAGCATCCCCTAAGGGCGCCAGTTCATGTTCACTTCCCACCGTGCTTATGGCCTGGAAAAGCAGTCTACTGGCTCCAGTCCTTGGGTCACTGCACCCACGTGGGAGACCCAGAGGAAGCTCCTAGCACCTAGCTATTGGCTTCAGATCATCTCAGGATTAGCCAATTGGGGAATGAGCTAGATATAAACCTAAAAAACAAAAATTACTTTTCATAAAATACTATTAAAATATTCATTCTAAGGATTGGTGTTATCATGCAGCAGGTTAAGCAGCAGCCTGCAAAGCTGCATTCAAGTTCCGCTTCCCATCCAACTCCCTGCTAATGCTCCTGGGAAAGCAGCACAGGATGGCCTAAGTGCTGTGGCCCCTGCAGCCACCTGAGAGATTCAAAAAAAGTTTCTGGCTCCAGGCTGGTCCAGATCTGACCCATGGTAGCTATTTTGGAAGTCAATCGGCAAATGGAAGATCTCTCTCTCCCTGGCCCTGCCTTTCCAATAAGTAAATTTCCAGAGACCAGCATTATCAGTGGGTTAAGCTGCTGCTTGCATCACACAGTAGCACCTGTTCCAGTCCCACTATTCCACTTCCGATTCCCAGGAAAGCCATGTGCCCTGTCACCCATGTGGGAGATGGTGTTCAAGCCTGCTGGCTTTGCCCTGGCCAGTGCTGGTCACTGCAGACAAGAATCAAACCAACAAATGGAAAAATATGTTCTCTCTCTCTCTCACACACACACACACACACGCACACACACACACACACTTTCTTTCAAACCAATAAATAAATCTTTAAAACTTCTTTTCTAAGGGTGGGCATTTGACATGGCACTTGGGAGGCCCAGTTCAACATTCCAGATCTTCCTGATGCCAGCTTTGTGTTCACAAGCACCTGGCAGGCCACATGCAATTGCTCACAGTGATTGGATGGCCACTACCCACAGGTGACCCACACAGAATTCCTGGTTTCTGTCTTAGTCCTAGCCACGGAGGGCATCCAGGGAATCGCCAATATATGAGTGACCTCTCTTTCAAACAAACAAAAAATGCCATCTAATTCTATAGTTTATGCAAACACTCTAACACACTTATATAGTCACATTTCACATAATCAGGTCCTCGCCTTGAATGCGCTGGGATTCCGGATGAGCACCAGTTCTAATCCCGGCGGCCCTGCTTCCCAACCAGCTCCTTGCTTGTGACTTGGTAAAGCAGTCAAAGACAGCCCAAGGCCTTAAGACCCTGCACCTGTGTGGGAGACCAGGAAAAGGTCCCAGGCTCTGGTTTCAGATCAGCACAGCTGAGGTTGTTGCAGCCATTTACTTGGGGAGTGAATCAACAGACAGAAGATCTTCCTCTCTGCCTCTCCTCCTCTGTGTACATATGACTTTCTAATACAAACAAAATAAATCTTGGAAAAAAATGCATAACATGAAATATGCATCTGAGGGACTAGAGGACTGCCTATTTGTAACTCCCCAGCTTTCTCAATGCAGTGTACCACGGTTCCCACTGCATTGCATTGCAGCTGCTTCACTGGGAGTCTCCTTCTGAACCATACATGTGTGTGATTCAGATTACCTAAGACGCCAGCTTCCCACCTTCTCATGTTGAAGACCATTAACGAAGCCTGTGTGCTGACATGCTAACTAACCCACATACCAGGACACACACTGTCATCAACAGCAAACGCCATCTCAGCAGGTGTACCGTAAGGAGCGGAAGCTACTACTTAGTAGCTACAACTATTAAGGCATAGAAACAGGTAACTAGACAGAAACAGCAACCTTTAAAACACAGCAAGCTTACTCCAGACAGCATCTAGCATATCCACACCAAACTGCTTCTGGCATATGAGTCTGTGCTAAAACACCATGAACATCTAAACGGTGACAAAGCAGTACAATGAGTGGATGTAACTGTGCTGTCCTTCTGACCCAGGAACTGCACATCACTCACAGCAGGTCAAGCAGAAGTGACTTCAAATGAGACATGGTCCAAGGTGGACATGAAGCCTCTAATTTCCAGCATACAACACGAGGGACAGATGAAAAGTTACAGGATGCTTTGAGAAAAAGCAGATTAACAGGACAGTGCGTTCTGCAGGGAAAATGATTCCAGGCTTTAGTTTCCCCACTGGTAAAATGCGGTTCCAAGATTTCTAAAACACAGCCCAGCCAGGGGGGTTAACAGGCAAGAGCCCCGAAGCACTCCATTCCCAGGCCAGACAGGACTCAGCTGCAGGAGGACAGACTCCTCACCACCCAAGGCTGCACAGGATGGGGCAAAGGCGAGCCGGCTGCGGGGCACAACTCCCAGAGGAGTATGCAGTAACAGGACACCGGCTCCAGGCAGCCAACACCAGCAGAACACTGGGACCCGGCTCGGCTCACTCTCACCACTGCAAACTGAAGGCAGCAAACGCCACCAACAACGCAGCTCAAACCACACAGGGCATTTTAAATGTCCTGGTAGTCACAAAGGTAAAATGTAAATAGGTGACAGTAACTTTGCTGCATTTTTAAACCCAATATTCAATATTCTTAACACGCAATCAAAATTTCAAAACTAATATTTTTGCAGGTTTTAGCTCATAGGTTGGGTATCCATCTCAATTTTAACTGGCCACATTTTACAAGTACAGCAGCCACACATGGCTGTTTCTCTGCAAGTGGACAGCACAGATCTAGGGTAACTATTAACTTAAGGGAATTGGCTCTAGACTTGTGCAAATAACAAGATTCTTTTTTTTTCCCCCAAACAACAAGATTCTGGCAAACGTTCTCCTTGGAGACACACGTTCTAAACCTGGAAGGGGAGTGAAGAAGTGGCTTGCCAAGGTCACCTGGGACCACTGCAACCATTCAGCACGAGCACGCCGCTGGCTCCTCCATGGGGCCGCCTCATACAGACCCCAGCCCGAGGAAGGTGGCTGCTGCCATTCCTGTAGTCAACTTCTCACTTGTTTCAGAAGAAAACTAAGACGCTCCCCCAACAGCAAATACACACACATATTACTCAGTTCCACAAGTTCTACCTCTGGGTTCCATGTTAAGAATGCCCACTTAAACACAGCTCCACTGTAACAGAACACTGATTTTTAATTTCTAATCCCTGTATTAAAAACAAATCATAAACAAATGTATTGGCTACAGGTCTAAAATAAAAAAAAAAAAATTTACAACGAATTTACTTAAAAAGCTACAGAGGTTCTCATTTTCTTACCAACCTGAATGAGTTCGCATATGTCGAGTTAGATGAGTCTTCTGAGAGCTCGAGTAGGGACAAAGTTCACATTTATATGGGCGTTCTCCTGCAAAACAACAAATTAGCACCTCAGTGCACCAAAATATGCCAGACACAATCTAACAACATAACAGTACTCAGCACAGAACACTTTCAATGAGGATCCCCACCCATTCCTGGCCAAAGTCAAGGCATTACATTATTACAAATGTAAATCGCTTATTCCTTAATTCATATAACATTATTTCAAGATAGTTGACAAGGTATCAAACAACATTCTCTGTCACTCTTGCCTTTCAAATAACTAAATCCTTTAAAAAAAAAAAAAGAAGCAAAGGTAAGCTCTATTTGCAAGCACTACAAATGCAGAGGAACCATATGGGCGCATATGAGCATCAGATCCTGTCCCGGCTGCTCCACTTCCCATCCAGCTCCCTGCTTGTGGCCTGGGCAAGCAGCAGAGTACGGCCCACAGCACTGGGACCCTGCACACGCACAAGAGACCCAAAAGCAGCTCCTGGCTTTGGCTCAGCTCAGCTTAGCTCTGGCCATTGCGACTACTTCCATGCGAGAACCATAGCATAGATCTTTTTCTCCTTCTTCCCTTCTCTCTGTAAATCTGCCTTTCCAATAAAAATAAATAAATCTTTAAAACTTAGAATTATCCTTTGAAAAACACCAAAAGTTTCTAATGCTGTTACTTGGCCATTTTTATTTAGGATTTATTTATTGGAAAGGCAGATACACAGAAAGGAGGAGAGACAGAGGAAGATCTTCCATCCAATAGTTCACTCCCCAAGCAGCCACAACAGCTGGAGCCAAGCCAATCCAAAGCCAGGAGCTCTTCTGGGTCTCCAATGCGGGTGCAGGGTCCCAAGGCTTTGGGCCGTCCTTGACTGCTTTCCCAGGCCACAAGCAGGGAGCTGGATGTAAAGCAGGGCCGCTGGGATTAGAACTGGCGCCCGCCCATATGGGTTCCTGGCACGTTCAAGGCAAGTACTTTAGCCTCTATGTTATCGCACCAGGCCCACTTGGGCATTTTTCCTGTAACTGATTACCACAATCTCAAGTTAGTGCAAAGGAACTAACTTGAGGATGTTACTGTTTGAAGTGAAAACCTCAAGTAAGAGGCAGCTGCTAACATGTGTAAGACAGCTGCGTCACTAGTGTACGAACATAAAGTCCCAGGGACAGAGAGCATCTGAGGACGGGGTCAGGGATCCTAAAGCTCAAAGCCAAGATGGGTTCTGGACATAGGCTGTCAACCACACAAGAGTCTAGGAAAAAAAGCTGGATGATAATTTTTTTTTTAATTTGGTCTTGGGCAAGATTCTTTCACAGCTCAGTTTCTGATCTAGAAAAACATTAGCCCTGGGGCAACCTATGGCATGGCAGTCAGTCACTGGCACCCTGGCCCCTCCACATCTATTCCAGCTCCCCCCGCGTGGGCACCCTGGAAGGCAACAAACAAGGGCGAGCACATGGTTCTCTGCCACCCACAAAGGAGACCCAGGCTGGCTCCAGACTGGCCCAGCGGGGGGAGACACTTGGGATAAGAATCAGCGCATAGGATGCGTCCTTGGTCTGACTGCTTTTCAAATAAAAACAAGTAACTTTGACCTTCAAAATAAGTAAGACATTCTTTAAAGCAAACAAAGAACCTTCAGTTTCTACAGCTGTGCACCTGCTGAGCCAAGCCCTGTGTTCACTACCAGCTACTAATGGTTTATACAACAAGCTATCAGACAGATGTATGTAGCAAGGTTAGCAAAGATGGCATGAAAAGAATGAGGCGTGGTCACTAGAAGAACTATTCTGAGGTCACTGGCTGGAAGCTGTCAGTGGTACCCAGCTGGGGGCGACAGAACAGAATGCCTACTTTATGACGTGGAAGCAGCAAGAGTTTAAAATGTTCATGTGTTTCTGCATAAGCACTCATGCAGCCATCAAGCACATGAAAAGATGCACTTCACCACTAAACAGGAGGAAAATGGAATGAAGACCCCCAGCCCCACCCAGTGGCCTGGCTGCTCAAGTCCTCACCTTGAAGGTGCTGGGACCCCATATGGGCGCTGGTTCTAATTCCGGCAGTCCCGTTCCCATCCAGCTCCCTGCTTGTGGCCTGGGAAAGCAGTGGAGGATGGCCCAATGCTTTGGGATCCTGTACCCATGTGGGAGACCCAGAAGAGCTCCTGGCTCCTGACTGGTGCAGCTCTGGCCCTTGCAGTCACTTGGGAGTGAATGGAGAAAAGATCTTCCTCTCTGTCTTTCCTCCTCTGAATATATATCTGATTTTGCAATAAATATACAAAACAGAAAAGAAAACCACTAGCCCCTGTCCTGGCACTACAGCATGGCAGGGTAAGCGGCCACCTTCCACAACAACATCCCATATGAGCACTGGTTCAAAAATACTGCCTGTGGCTGGCACCCCAATGGGTGCCAGTTTGTGTTCCAGCTGTCCCACTTCCAAACCAGCTCCCTGCTTGTGGCCTGGGCAAACAGAGGATGACCCAAGTCCTTGGGACCCCGCACCCATGTAGAGACCTGGAGGAGGTTCCACGAGCCAACAGATGCAAGATTTTTCCTTCTCCTCTCTGTAAATCTGCTTTCATATAAAAATAAATAAACATTTTTTAAAAAGAAAAAAAGTATTGATTGCTATACTTCTTATCCAGCTCCCGCTAATGTGCCTGTGCCTGGGAGAGCAGCAGAAGGAAGGCCCGCGTGCTGGGGTCCCTGCCACACAGGTGGCAGATCTGGGGATGCTTCAGCCTCAGAGCTGCCCTGCGTGTTGTGAGCTTTTCCGTGAGTCAACGAGAGCATGGGGCAGACTCTGCCTCCAGGAGTGGCAGAGAGAAAACCTCTCCATTTCAACCACTGTAATCGGAGAGATGGGTGTTAGCCACAACGAAGAGATTGAGGAAGTCAGAGCCCTCACACACTGCAAAGGGACTGTAAATGGTGCAGTAAAACCCAACAGTCACCCCAGGGCCCTGGAGTTCAACTGCTGCCCGCTCTCAAGAGACAAAAACTTGGGCCTGGCATGGTGGCCTAGTGGCTACAGTTCTCGCCTTGAATGCACCGGGATCTCATATGGGTGCCAGCTGCTCCACTTCCCATCCAGCTCCCTGCTTGTGGCCAGGGAAGGCAGTCGAGGACAGCCCAAAGCCTTGGGACCCTGCACCCGCATGTGAGCCCTGGAGGAAGTTCCTGGCTCCTGGCTTCAGATCGGCATAGCACCAGCCATGGTGGTCACTTGGGGAGTGAATCATTGGATGGAAGATCTTCCTCTCTGTCTCTCCTCTCTGTATCTGACTTTGTAATGAAAACAAATCTTTTTAAAAAAAGAAAGACAAAAACTTACTACACTAACTCAACTCACAGCTGAATGTGGACACCAACATCATTTGTCACACAGCGTAAATGGACACATCCACCCACTGCTGGAACACAAAACACTAAGTAAGCGGACCAGTGTCAATGGGCAGTAACGGGTAGTAACAAGCAGTGCTCAGATGTCAACATGGAAGCGCTCCTGGGCGACATTCTCCCAAGCAGATGTGGGTGGGTCCAGAGGACCCTGCTGGCATGGTTCCACATCCACGGATGGCAGGGCCAGCACAGTCCTGGCCCAGTGAGCCACAGGGCGTGGAAGTTATGTCAATAAAGATGCAATAAAAATGTCAATGGAAGAAAAAGTAAATAAACCTTGTCAGACTCAGCATGTGGAACCAGTCAAGGGTAATTTCCTGTTATCTTCTTTGAAAGGACAAGACTTGCTTTATCTGTGTAATTCCACCAACTAAGTGTAATTACTGTTCTACAAAGCTCAGTTAAGCACTCATTTCTTCAGTCACACGCATAGGCAAAAAAAAAAAAAAATCAACCTTAATTATTTTTAAAACTCTGTATTATTTGCAAGTCAGAGGAGAGAGGAAGAGTTGGGAGATAAGACAATGAGGGCTCCCATCACTGGCTCACTTCTGACATGCCCACAACAGCCAAGACCGAGCTGAGCCCCAGCCAGCGGCTGGGAACCAGATCGTCTGGGACCTAGCCACAAGCCACTGGCCCTCAAACTCTCAGTGTCCCAATCAGCAGGAAGCTAAATCCAGAGCGGAGCTGGAACCCAAATTTGGCACTCCAATTCAGGCATCCTAGCCCAGCCACTAGAGCCAAAACCAACCCCCCAAGATGATCCTTTGAAATAACATGCATGAACTGGTTACATTTCAAAAGCACAAAAATCAGTCTTTGATTAAAAAAAGGTCAACTTGAACAATGGTGATCCCTAACTCCACCACCACAGCTCACTTAGCAGTGGAATAATGGGATTTCTCAACTCTGCTACTTGCAATGGGCACCTGAGTCAATCAGTTCAGGCATTCCGATCCAAGATTCCTCTGTAAACATGCATGATTACTCACACACACTGCTTCCTCACTGGAGTGTTTGGAAGACTAGCACAGAATAGAAACAGCAGCAAGCCCTGGGCCCTCGGTAGGCTGAAAAAAAGCCATGAAGCCAACCTGCCGAAGATGAGACCTGCCGAGTACAGGCAGAGCTAGCAGAGATGGGCACCTGGCCTCTTTCCCAAGGCTCCCCAGCTCTGCCCTCACTTTCCAGCTCTACCCTTCAGCACTGTATCAATTCTCAATAAAAAGATTCAGAACTACCCACTGACCATCCTTTACAATCCCCACATGAAACAACCAAGAGCCTTCTGAGCCTAGCTCTGTGGCAGGGGGTTCGCCTTCCGGTCAACAGTTCCAGTCCCAGCTGCGCTCTCTACTTCTGATCCCCTTCCCTGCCAGCTGGCCTCAGTCCTAGGGCCCTGGCGGCCACACAGGAGGTCCAGATGAAGGTGTAGGCTGCTGGCTTCGGCCTGGCCCAGCGCTGGTTGTTGTGTCCCTCTGGGGGGTGAGCCAGTGGATGCGAGATCCTCTGTCTCTCCTTTTCTCCAAAACATAAATCTTAAAAATTTTTAAAAATTTAAAAAAGGGCCAGGGCAATACAGGCTAGTGGCTAAATCTTTGCCTTGTCTGCACCGAGATCCTGAGCTCCTGGTTCCGGCCAGCTGGGCAGTGACCACGCGACAGCGCATCTTTCTCTCCGACTCCCCTTCTCTCTGTAAATCTGCTCTTCCAAGAAAAACCAATAAATCTTTAAAAAAAAAAAAAAAGCTGCCCCCTTCAACAATGGCAGCCCCTGTGGGTGTAGGCTTGAGTCTTGCTCCGCTACCCTTTCCCCAGGCTCCCTGCCATGTGCCTGGGGAAGCAGCTCAGGAGTGGCCCAGGACTTGGGTGTCTACTCAGATGACCTTCCTGGCTCCTGACTCCAGGCTGGCCCAGCCCTGGCCACTGAGGAAGTGAATCAGTAGTTGGGACGATTTTTCTCTCTCTCTAAAACACTGCCTTTCAAATAAATAATTCCTCAAAACAAAAAGTCTACAGCTGGGCAGGCACGTAGCACAGCAGGGGAAAGCCACCGTCTGCTACACAGGTATCCCATGGGTGCTGTTTCATGTCCTGGCTTCCCAACTTTGGATCTCTTGCTAATGTGCCTGGGAAAAGCAGCAGATTGCCCAAGTCTGTGGGCCCCTGCTACCCAAGGGCTCTTGGCTCCTAGCTTCCACCTGGCCCAGCTCTAGCCACATCTCTTTCTCCCCTCTCTCTGTGTAACTCCGACTTTCAAATAAATCACTCAATTTGTGGGGAGAAGGAACAGAAAAAAGTCTTTCTGAAAAGCACCAAGAGGGCTGGCGCCACACTATAGTAGGTTAAATCTCTACCTGAAGCGCTGTAATCCCATCTGAGTGCTGATTAGTGTCCCAACTGTTCAACACAGCTCCCCGAGCATGGCCTGAGAAAGCAAGGGAGGCTGGCCTGAGTCCTTGGACTCTGCATCCACACGAGAGATCCAGGAGAAGCTCCTGGCTCAGGACTGGCCCAGCTCCAGCCACTGCAGCTATCTGAAGGGTGAACCAACAGATGGAAGACCTTTTTCTTTCTGGCGCTCTATCTCTCCTTCTCTCTGTAACTCTTTTTAAAACAAAATTAAATCCTTTTTTAAAAGCACTAAGGTTGGGCCTGGTGTGATAGCCTAGTGGTTGAAGTCCTCGCTTTTCACACACCAAGACCCCTTTCAGCGTTGGTTCTAATCTCGGCTGCCTGCTTCCCATCCAGCTCCCTGCTTGTGGTCTGGAAAAGAAGTTGAGGATGGCCCAAAGCCTTGGGACCCTGCACCTATGTGGGAGAACTGGAGGAAGCTCCTGGCTCCTGATCAGCTCAGCTCCAGCCATTATGGTCAGTTGGGGAGTGAACCAGCAAATGGAAGATTTTTCCACTCTGTAAATCTGACTTTCCAATAAAAGATAAATAAATCTTAAATAGGGCCCAGTGCAATAGCCTAGCAGCTAAAGTCTTGCACGCACTGGGATCCCATATGGGCAATGGTTTGTGCCCCAGCTCCCTGCTTGTGGCCTGGTTGGGCAGTCAAGGACAGCATAAAGCCTCAGGACCCTGCATCCACAGGAGAGACTTTTAAGAGGCTCCAGGCTTCTTGCGGCCACTGGGAGAGTGAATCAACAGACGGAAGATCTTCCTCTCGTCTCTTCTCCTCTCTGTATAACTGACTTTGCAATAAAAATAGTCTTTAAAAGGCGCCACTCAAGGACGGGGCTCCCTGCCACTCGTGCGGGACACGTGGTGTGCCTTCCCAGACCCTGGCTGCCACAGCTCCTCGAGTCAGACAGCAGATGGGCATCTGGCTCTTCTGCCTTTCAAACAGAGCACTCCTCGAGGTTAACTGAGGAGCGTCAGGCAGAAAGGGGAAGCGGTGCTAGCAGAAACGGCCGTTGGTCTGCAGCACCAAAATTGCCTCCAGCACCGGTGACACAATGTGAACACACTCGCGGCCATTCAACTGGGAACCAGTGTCGTGGCACACAGGGTCGAGCTGCTGCCCAAATGGGCACTGGATTGAGATCCTGCCACTCCACGTGCTGCGCGGTTGCCTGCAGCTACATCCTGGAAGGGCAGCAGAGCACGGCCCAGGCCTTGGGCCCCCAACATCGCACGGGAAGCCCAGGCGCAGTTCCCAGCTTGGAGCTGGCCTGGCCTGCTGTTGCCGGCATGTGGAAAGAGGACTAGTGGATGGAAGGACTCAATTTTTTTTCTCTGTCATTCTGCCTGCAAATAAATACGTAAATCTAAAAAACAAAACAAAACTTGTCTTTTTGATAGTCTTCCTGACTTTGAACAGGTCTTTTTAAACTGTCGGGACATACGGAACATACCTGCCTGCTTGCTTTCCTAAGAAGATGCTTTGACCATCTGTTAAAAACTGACCTGTCGCACTGTTTTGGAGACATAGTTTCATGAGCTCAATGCCTTCAGTCAAAACGCTCTTACACTACAAGGCTTTCATTAAAAGAGCGAAGCAAGGCTAATCACTGGCTTCAGTTTTTGAGTTAAGATCTCAATTCCCTTTGGAAACGAACGTTTCATCATGCATCGTCACATCAACACTTCTGCAGCCTGAGCTAACAGAACGCCTCCCGGGGCTGCTGGAATGGCAAGCACTGCGCCTCGCGGGTAAGCCTGACCACAGCGCCCCAATGGGAGTGTCTCATCAAGTCGTGCTCTGCAGTTCCAACCCAGTTCCCTGCTAATGCTCCCGCAAGGTAGCAGGGGATGGCCCCTCAGGGACCTGCTTCTGCACAGCAGACCTGCAGATGGAGTTCCAGGCCCTTGCTACTGCTCGCATTTGGGGAGTGACCCAGTGGAAGGAAGATGGATCTCTCTCACCAAGAAACAGCAAATTTGGAAACAATGAGTTCACCCAATTTTCCCTAAGCCTTAATTGTTCCCACCCTGAACAACCATGTAATCACAAGAAAAAAAAAAGAGGATCTCTCTCTGCCATTATGCTTTTCAAATAACTAAATACATAAACCTTACATATGAATGATTTAACAGGGTTATTTTGCATCAGTGTCTTATGTGTGCTGTCACTTAATCCTGTATGCTGGCACCCTATGAAGAGAATGAAGTGGGCCGGGCGCAGCACTCTAGTGGTTAAAGTCCTCGCCCTGTGTACAACAGGATCTCATATGGGTGTCAGTTTGTGTCCCAGTGGCCCTGCTTCCCTTCCTGCTCCCTCCTGTGGCCTGGGAAACCAGTTGAGACCCTGTACCCGCCTTGGGAGACCTGTACCAAAACCTTGGGACCCTGCGCCCATGTGGGAGAACTGGAGGAAGTTCCTGGCTCCTGGCTTCGGATTGTTGCAGCACTGGCTGTTGCAGTCACTTGGGGAGTGAATCAATGGACAGAAGAACTTGCTCTCTTATCTCTTCTCTCTGTATAACTAACTTTGCAATAAAAAAAATCTTTAAAAAAGATTTGAAGCACAAAGAGGATCGAGAACTTGCTTGTGACTGAAGTTAGCAAATAACGGACCCTAGACTGGAGCCCTAGGTGGGTCCCTTCTCCCCAGCACTACTCAAGCATTCAAGGGTAACCACCAGGAAGAGAGAAAACTGAAGATAATTTTATTTAGCACAAGGAAGCTGCGCTTACCTGTATGGGTTCGAACATGCTGAACGTAATTATTCTTTCTGTCTGAGAAGTAGTTGCACTTCCCGCACGTGTACACCTTCCTGGGGAAGTGGTTCCTCAGGTGCTTCCTCCAGTGGTACTCGCTCACCGTGGTGTACGTGCAGATGATGCACTTGTATACGCGCTCGTTGGCGCCGGCCCGGGTGTGGTGCTTCAGGTGCGCCGTGTAGTGGTCGTAGCGGTTGGTGTTGTAGCCGCAGCGCTCGCAGCGGATGGGGCCCTTGGAGAGATCCCCGTCTTCGGCGGGGGCAGAGCCAGCCTCCCTGGCTTTGGCTTGCTTCTCCGCGCTTTCTTCCACAAAAAACTTCTTGGCACTGTGGACGCGGATGTGGTGCACAAACTGCTCCTCCGACTCGGCTTCGTACTGGCACGGCTTACAGCGGAAGGGCTTGGTCTTCAAGCTCTTGCCTTTGTCCTCCGCTCCCGGGGCTTCGGCTGGAACGTCTTTATTGGAGCCATAAACCGCTGGCGTGGCGGCGGCCTCAAACACTGGCTGCTGTGGCTCCGTGGCACCGAGCTCCAGGCTCCGCAGCTCCATGCTCTGCAGTGCGCTGGATTCACCCTTTGCTTCCGAAGCCTCCTCAAGTCCTTCTCCATCACTGTCGGAGAAGTGGTCCCCAACAGGCAGCAGCTCTGCCATCTGTCTGTCTTCCCCCACCAGGTAATCACAGCAGCCGCCATTCACTTCCCCCGTCAGGGCCACGTTGGCCAGCATGATAAGCTGGGGGGCGGCCAGTTCCGCCTTGGAGAGCTCCTGTAAGTCATACATGTCGTTGGGCAAGGCCATGCCCATGTTGCCACTGTTGGTGAACAGCCCTCCTCCTCCAGGAGACTGTCCCATCACCTGGGTGGCCATGGCTGTATTCTGAAAACACACAAGACCGTCTGCTTAGATACCATGTGACTAACCTTCAAGCCAAGCATCACTGTTCATTCCTCACAACCTAAAAAACGGGACCCTGCGGGATAGCGGGTACCACCTTGCCTTGCCATGTGCAGATACTCAATATGGCTGCCAGTTCGTGTCCCAGCTGCTCCACTTCCCATCCAGCTCCCTGCTTGTGGCCTGGGAAAGCAGTAGAGGATGGACCCTGCGCCCACGTGAGAGACCCGAAGCAGCTCTGGGCTCCTAGCTTTGAACAGGCTTAGCTCTGTGAACAGGCTTGGCCCACTGTGGCCAGTTGGGGAGTGAACCAGTTAACAGAAAATCTTTCTGTATCTCCTTCTCTCTGTAAATCTAGCTCTCCAATAAAATTAAATAAAATCTTAAAAAACAGACAAAAGCAAAAAACATTTTCCCAATATAATCTTTAAACTCAATGAGTGGGGCTGGTTCAAGTCCTGGTTACTCCACTTCAACGCAACTCTCTGCTAATGTGGCTGGCAAAGCAGTGGGAGATGGCCCAAATCATGGGCCCCAGGACCCAAGTGAGAATCCAATAAAACGTGCCCTTGGCCTGGCCTAGGTTACGGCTACTCCCCCACTCTGCAACTCTGGCCTTTAAATAATAAAAACTTAAAATATTGGTTACATTGAATACTAAAGCAGGGACACAAGTTAAGCTGCTGCTTGGGGATCAAATTTCAATCACTCAGTGCTTCCCACCCAGCTCTTGCAAATGCAAAGGAAGCAGCAAAAGCAGGCCCAGATCCGTGGGTGCCTGCCACCCACGTGGGGGACCCAGCAGGGTCCTGATTGCCTGGCTTCCGTGGGCCTAACAGGGCTGCTGGGGGCTTGAGGGGTGTGAACCAGCAGACAAAAGATAAATATCCCTCTTTCTCCCTTTCTGGGCATTTCAAACAAAAAAGCACATCTTCAAAAGTTGTGGGAAAATGAAATTAAAGATAATTTTATTTAGCACTAGCAACAAACTTAAAATATTCCTTAATTCCTACAGCCACCAAGTTCTATCCCTTGAAAAAAAAAAAATTTGCGCCAACTGGACAATTCATCAACTGGTCTACCACCGGCAAGTCTTCCCTCAAGCACTTTTAATAATTCCGGTGCAAGAAAAAAGTAGCCTCCATTTTTTAATGTTAATTTAAATTGCTCCGAAAATTCAATGAAAGGCTCAATGGTCTCCATGAGACATCCACAAGCTATCCTGCGCATCTGTGAAGTTCACAAACACACTACAAAGTAGAAGCCTGTAATAATTGGTTAACTTAATTGAATCTCCTATGAACTAACTCCCAAAGAGTACGACTGTGAAAAAGCACCACTTAGTCCCTCTTGAATTTTCCATGACTGCAGTGTAAACGAAGACAACAACCAAAAAACACCCGAAGGAGAAAGGAAGTCGAGTTGACTCGGAACTTCACAAAATAAAGCTTTTTTTTTCACTTCTCCTCCCCGAAGAGAGCAATCCTCCAACTCCACACGGCTACCAGCTACTCACTGGCACCACGCTTGACTTGGCCTACTCGCCTAGGGGAAGCCATTACAAGATCACTTTCCTGCAAACAAGTTGGCCTTTTTCACGGCCTTGGCCACGCTCCTTCCCAACCTCAAAGGTGTCCTGCGCATTAGGACGGGCAGGGGCACCATGACTGGGAAAAGCCAAGCTCCCCCCTCCCCGCTGGAAACCGACCCACAAAAAGCAAAGTGTCGGCCCAAGTGTGTAAACACGGGCGGCCGGGTCCCGTGCGCCCTCAGAAGGTGCACAAAATGCCATCACAGGGCCGGAGGCCGAGGCCGTCCCGGGGGCCCCGCGCCACCGGGCGCCCCACCACGATCGGGGAAGGGCCTTCGGCGTCTCCCGGCAGGCCGGCCAAGCATGGCCCGGGAGCCCCGCGTGCCGCCCGAATTCCTGTGCGCCCGGCCGCCCGCGTCGGCCCCGGCCGCGGCATTCCGAACTCCAATAGGCATTCGGCCATTTTCTCAAAATACCAAACACAAAGCAGCTCTTTGCAAACTCGGGCGCTCTCGCTTCCTCTCGGCCCGGCCCGCTCGCAGTGCACACACACTCGCACCCCAAGTCGCCGGAGCTGCGCCCCCCACCCCCATGCCCGTGCTCTCCCCAACACTCAACCCGGGCACGCGCAAGCCGGCTGGGGACGAGCGCCGGGACCGAACCCCGTCTCCCCGGAGCCGCCGGGCAGCTCCCCTCTCCCCTGCCCGCCAAGGGCCCGAGTCCGGGCTGGAGGACGGAAAGTTACCTCAGCCGGCGTCGCCCAGCTCCCGCGACCGCCCCTCAGCCGGCTCGGGCGGACTCCGCGGGCGCCCTCCGGAGGCGTCGGGCCCCGAGCGAGCGCCTCAGGGGGGCCCCCCACGCGGGCCGGCGGCCGCCCCCGCGCCCCGGAAGTTTGCGAACTTCACTCCCCCCAAGCTCAGGGCCCACGACGCGCGTCCCTCGGCCGGGTCCGCCTCGGCTGCGCGGTGAGCGGGAGGCGAGGGCCGCGCGGGCCGGCGCGCAGAAATCGCTGTCCAGCCCCACGGGCGGCCACCGCCCGGGGCCCCCGCGGCTGACTCAACCCGCCCGGCCGGCCGCGCTCAACGGCGCCTTCCGGCGAAAGGGAGAGGCCCGGCCGGGGGTGGGAGTGAGGGGTGGCCGGCGGGGCCGGTGCGTGGGCCGGGAGGCCGAGGAAGAGGAGGAAGTTTCAGGACTAGGGCCCCGAGCAGCTCCGCTCTTGGCCTCAGAGCACCGCGCTTCCGAGGGGCGGCGGCGGCGAGGCCCCCGCGGGGGTGGCGGCCCCGCCTCGCCCGGGCTGGGGGTCCCCGGCGCCGCGCCGCTCCCCGCCGACGCCCCCCGGCCCGGCCCCCGGGCCCGCCGCGCTGTAACCCGATCCCGGCTCGGCCGCCAGCCCCCGCCAGCCCGGCGCGGTCGCCGCCGCCGCCGCCGCCGGAGCCACGGTATCTGCAGATCAGCCCTGGACAGCGCCTCGCTCCGCGTCCTTCCGCGCCCGCCCTCTCCCGCCGCCGCGGCCCGGCCGAGCCCCGCGCCGCACTCACCGTCCTCGGCCGGCGACGAGCGGCGGCCGAGCGGACGGGGCGTCTCGGTTCCGCCGCCGCTGACTTTTCTTTGTTGCTGGAGTTTCGCAGGAGGGGAGGAGGGCGGGGGTGGGGGGGTGGGGAGGCGGAGAGGAAAGAGGAGAAAAGTTGTGAGTTTTGGGGTGGTGGGGGGAGGCTCGCCGAGGCAGGGCCGCGAGGCGTGCAGGACGGCTGCGTGCGTGTGTGCGCTCACGCCGCCAGCCCTCGCCCAGCCGTCCCGGCCGCCGCCGGGGTCTGGGGCCCGGGGCCTCGGCGGCGCCTGCTCTGCCGCCGCGCCGGGAGCTCGCGGGAGCCGCACATTCCAGCACAGGACGCCGCGCCGCCGCCGCCGCCGCCCGCGGACACGCCCCCGCCGCCCGCGCGCCCGGCCTGCGCCCCGCCTGCGCCCCGCCCTGCGCCCAGGGGCGCGCCCGGGACCTCCAGGCGCCCGGCCCCGCGCGCTCGCGCCCGGCCCGGGGTCAGGAGAGAAGGCGGGGCCCCCTGGGCTCCGACTCTGGGTTTCTTTCTTAAACAAACAGCAGGAGTTACCCCCGGGCGTGCACGCGGGAGAATGGAGCTTGTGGGCGGGGAAGACCTGCCCGGCTGGGACCGCCGTCTGCACCGAGCTGCTCGCCGGCCTCTGCGGGACTCGCCACCCCGGCTGCCTTCCTTTGAGGGTCGTCGGCCGAAAGCCGTTGACGCTGCAGACCCGAAGTAGGCGGATTGAAATACTAACACTGGATGGGCTGTAAGCAATTGGCGAGGAAGTGAGTCGGCTTGCTGGGTGAAGGATGGAACCCACCTGGGGCTGCTGGGGCGAGGGTGTGGGCGCGGTAGGCGGGGTCGCCTAAGCCTCCCACCAGGTGATAACAGGCAAACCCTGAAAGGATCTGGGAGGGAAGGTATTCAGCTCGGCCTAGATTCAGCTGGCTCAAAATCCGGTACCTGCTGGCTCTTTAAATGTCCTCGCCCTTGCCCTCCGGCGCCTTCCGTTCTGGCTCTTTCTGGACCCCGGATCCCGCTTCCCCGCTGCTACACCTCTGTGGCACGTGCGTTCCGTAGCAGGGCTGAGCGAAACGTCCCTGGTGCAGGTGCAAGTCGGACGCCAGGTGGGAGAAAGGCCCTGTCCAAAGGGCTTCACCCCTTGAGTTTTACCGTTTCAAACACAAGCAGACCCCCAACCCCTTATACAGGGGACTTGAAATGTGTGCTTTGTCTGGACGCCCCCTCCGAAGCTTCCTGCCATCCCATCCGCTCAGCTCTGACCTTGAGGCCATGTGGGGAGTGAACCAGCAGATGGAAGATCTTTCTGTCTCTCCTTACACCGCCCCCCATCCTCCGTGTGAACTGAGCCAGAGAGGAAGGAAACAGAAAAACAACTTTTTCGACATGTTCATTTTTTCTTTTCCAACCTGTTTAAATCTAATGTGAGCGCCTATCACTTCTCAGCCTTTCGGCTAAGACCAAGTGTAATTTGAGCTTCCAGTTTTCTTTCTTTTTTTTTTAAGATGCTGTGGCCCAGGGTATAATTCTTGCTTCTCTCAAGGTTGTCACAGACGCAGACTGGAGGCAGGCGACTGGCCTCGTTTGTAAGCCAAGGTTGGGACGTCGGGAGCCTGGGCTCAGGTTCCAGCAGCTGGCTCCTGAGGGGCCTGGGGGGCAGTGGGTGATGGCTGCGGCGGTTGAGCCGGCCGCCCGCAGAGGAAGCTGGACTGTTCACTGCTGCCGTTCATACAGGCCTCTGGGGGTAAACCAGTAGAGGGGGGTGTGTGCTATCTCTTCTTTTTTCTGTCTTCGAAATGAATTGTTTAAAAAAAAAAAAAAACAGAAAGGGCTAGGGCAATCCCAGAGCCTCTAGAATTGTACCACAAAATTCAAACATTAAAAAAAAAAAAAGGCAGAAAATGCATGAACTATTTTTCTCTGGTGCATCCAGAATGCTAAAAATGAAACTTTTCAACTTTCACAAATAAAGGTCCCCCATTTCTCAGTCTAACCACTAAGTGGAAATGTTTTATTAATTGCGAATTTATTCCCACACATTGTCATGCAAATGGCAGAATGGCAAATGGGCAGCTGCATTCATTGAAAATTAGCAGAGGCCCTTGTTCAAGGCATGGCATATTCAAAGTGACCCAAATTATCATGACATGAAGGCCACAGGTCAAATTCAAGGCCAAATTACAAATCAATAGAGTATGTCCTGGGGGAAGCTAGTGCTGCGAACTTCGGTTCTGCAGCGGTTTTCCCAGAGTCTGCGTTTTCCTCTGCTGCATCCAAAACAGAAAATCATCTGCAAGAGCAAGCATTGGAAGAGAGTTCTTTCCTACCTAGTCATGTCATCATTTCAAAAATGTTTGATCATCTGTCCTTAGTAACACTTCAGAGGTTTATTTCAAAAGTTTGGTAAATACTGTTTTTGAGCTTCCATGGACGTTTTGTTTCAACTGGTTTTTTGTTGCTGTTGTTGTTGTTAGAAAAAGTTCAATTTGAGCCCACGTTCGTGGTGTATTGGAGTTGGATGAAGCGTGTCTACACGTCTGACCCAGGCGTGCTCTGATGAGTACGGGTCCATTCCAACGCAGGGAGACTTCTGCCTGCTCCCTCATGTCTCCAGTCAAGAAAACTGTGAAGGGAGGACTGAGCCCCAGGCCCTTCTCCCACTCTCTCCTCCATAGCTGTAGTGCCCCCACGAGGGTCTCCCTGCCGGCCACCAATCCACTGCTGCCTGTGACATTGATGCTGAATCAACGCAGGTTTTATTTCTCGTGTTGCTAGAAGTGACTCTCCAAGCACAGTTCAGAATGCTGGGTGCTGACATGGTGGCACAGTGGGTCACCCAGCACTTGTGTCGCTGGCCCAGCTGCTCCACTCGCACAGCATTATGACCCACATAGTTGGGCCTCTGCCGTCCATGTGGGAGACCCAGATGAAGTTGCTGGCTGCAGACTTGAGCCTCATCCAGACTTCACTGTAGCAGCCATTTGGGGAGTAAACCCGCACATAGAACACCTGCCTCATCTTTCCTTTCTTCATTCCCTTTCTCTTTTTTCTTGAAGGATTTATTTTTATTGGAAAGACAGATTCATACAGAGAAGGAGATACAGAGAGAAGAATCTTCCATCTGCTGGTCCCAAATGGCCACATCTGCCGGAGCTGAGCCAGATCTGAAGCCAGGAACCCGGAGCTTCTTCCAGGTCTCCCACTCGGATGCAGGGTCCCAAGGCTTTGGGCTAATCTCTGTTACTTTCCCAGGTCACAAGCAGGGAGCTGGAAGGGAAATGAAGCAGCTGAAACAGGAACTGATGCTCATATGGGATCCCGGCATATGCAAGGTAAGAATTTCGCCTCTAGGCCACTGCACTGGGCCCTAAAATAAATAATCTTTTTTTTTTAAAGATTTATTTTTATTATTATTTTTTTTTTATTGGAAAGGCGGATATACAGAGAGGAGAGACAGAGAGGAAGATCTTCCGTCCAATGATTCACTCCCCAAGTGAGCGCAACAGCCGATACTATGCCAATCCGAAGCCAGGAGCCTCTTCCGGGTCTCCCACGTGGGTGCAGGGTCCCAAAGCTTTGGGCCGTCCTCAACTGCTTTCCCGGGCCACAGGCAGGGAGCTGGAAGGGAAGCGGGGCTGCCGGGATAGAACCGGCGCCCATATGGGATTCTGGCGCATTCAAGGCGAGGACCTTAACCACTGTGCCACCGCGCCGGGCCCATAATCTTTTTTTTTTTTTAATTTTTAAAATTGTTAGTATTTTCCATGGTACAGATCTGTACGTGTAGGGATCCTCTCCTCCCCTCCCCATTCTAACTCCCCGTTTTTCCTTCCCACCATCTCCCCCATTTTATCATGGTAGTATAGGTCTTTACCAGCAGTTTCAAGTTTAACACTGCTGTTGCAGTGATGTCCACACACACAGGGCTCTGAACCTGGTCTAGTCCTGTTGAATACAGCTGGCTGCCCCTGGCACTCTGACCTTCTGCCCATTCCCTGTGGCCCCTGGAGCCTCAAGGGATGGAGGGGAGCGTGCAGCCGGAGACTGGCTTGGGAGGTCTTTCCTGCTCACTGTCCGCCCCCTTGCGCCCTGGCAACCATCTACTCAGGTCCCTTACTGTCCCTGTCTTGCATTGCCGCCCAGCGCCTTTTGTCCCTCGTCACGCAAACATCATCTTCTCAATGGCATTTACTTTTCCGTGTGGAGTCCCGTCCCTCCAGCCTTCCTTCTCTCTGGCACAGAGCACTAGCAGGCTAACGTGTTTTATTTATTCATGGAAAATTAAGCTCCGGGAGGGCTAATCCTCATCCCAGTGCCTATCACTCAGTGGTTTGCTCAGGAACTTTGTTTTTTTAAATTTTTATTGATTTTTATCACAAAGGCAGATTTACAGAGAGAATGAGAAACAAAAAGATCTTCCATGCACTAGTTCACTCCCCTCAGATGGCTAATAGAAGCCATGGCTGAGTGGATCTGACGCCAGGAGTCAGGCACCTCATGGGTACAGGGACTTTACTGCTTTCGCAGGCCAGAAGCAGGGACATAAACCAAAGTCCATATGGAGTGCTGGCGCTTGGAGGTGGAGGATTAACCAGTGGAGCTGTCACACTGCCTCCTTGACTCTCCCTAGCAACAGCCGGCCGAAGGGATGGGTCCCTAGGTGGGTCCCTAGGTGGGTCCCTAGGTGGGTCCCTAGGTGGGTCCCTAGGTGGGTCCCTGGGTGGGTCCCTGGGTGGGTCCCTAGGTGGGTCCCTAGGTGGGTCCCTAGGTGGGTCCCTGGGTTCCATGCTCATGTTGAAAACCTCCCTGCCTGCTCTTTGCCTACTGGGCAGCTTCTAAAATCTTCTGGGAAGTGGAATTAAATGTTTATTTTGGTGCTAAAAACAGATTCGAAACCCCTGCCTTTAAGGGATCTGTCGAAAGCTCACAGCGACGTCCACGTTTCTATTATGAAAAGCTGTGCACGGTGTTCAAGCCTTTCGCACCAAAATAAGCTTCTCTTTTCACAAAATTTTATGAGGTTTTTTTTTATAAAAAAAGAGAGAGAATGGGAGAGACAGAAAGAGATCTTCCATCTTTTTTTCAGTGGCCAGCTATGTGGCAGGCTGAAGCCACAGCATCATCTGGGCCTCCTACGCCAGGTGTCATGGGCCCAAACATAAGCACCATCACTTGGGCCCTCAGCA